TCCCACCGGCGCTATGTGTCCCCCCCCCACCGGCGCTATGTGTCCCCGGCACCAGTACTTGTTCCCCGGCCTCCCATTGGCTCCCCTCACGTTCCTAGGGCAGACAAGTCCAATGATTTATATTTCTTATGTCATGACGATTGCCGTCCCGGGTGATCACAGATTGTCATTGTTACAGTAGTTGGTGACGGAGTTTGATTGACAGGTGTGATGAACATCGATAATTGGGACAAATACATGGTGACGGGAGGACGCTAGTTTGTGTCCTCCCGTTACCCTAAGGCCCCGTTCACATTGCGCGATATCGCACGATTTGTCACGCAAATGCTTGCATTGAGCAAGCGAGAATCACGGCAAAATCCGCTCCAAAAAGGGTCCTGCTGTAGCGACACATGACCCGCGACAGCAGGGCCCTTTGCCCCATTGAGATGCATTGAAGCGCGATAAATCGCTCAATGTGAACGGGGCCTTAGGAGAACTATGAGGAAAAGCCCTGACCCCATAGTTCTCCTTTAATGACAGCCTACCAAGCGTAGGTTTAGATATCACTTAAAAGAGAAGAAAGTATGAAATAAACCAATGCCAGAGGTAATAGTACAAACTTCTAACAGATCATATTGATTATGACTAATATCAGGTCTGTGTGTATAGCAAGTGATCTGCAGTTGATAAGCAGTTGTTGGTCAATAATAAGGATGTTCAGGGATAAGAGTTACAATAGCGATTCGTCTCGTCTCAGGGATCCCTTTATATGTAACAAATGATTTTGGTTTCTTTGTATCGTCCTCTACAGAGCGCAGGAGACAATCGCTTCCGATGTCATCACTTTCCTGGAGGAACGAAACATTGTATCAGAGAGTTGTACGAGGGACCAACAAATTGCGGCTCCTCCCATTGTACGGCTCTGTGATTGGCTCCGGAGATTTCTCTGTAAAGAGATACAAATGTCCGGCCCCCGGCTTCCTCCCCCCCGGGATTCTCACATTTCACTTTCTATAGAGACAGAAGAAAACAAAGTGACAGAAACGTTTGTATCGGATCCTGCGCGGTGTCCATGCCGGGAGAGAAGGGGTTAAGTATGGAGCTGGGGGAGGGGGAGGTGTAATGTGAGTCCCCCATCATGGAGGATCCTCCTGTGTACTTCCTCCAGGCTTCTCACACAGGCCCCGCCCCTTCCTCTCCAGCCAACACTGTGTGTGCAATGTGCTTCCTGGACGGAGATCTCCGCCGTACCGACACCGCGCTGACCACCGGATGAGACGCCACCGACCGACCCACCGGACACCAACACAGCGCCACTTCCCTTCTGTATGTACTGACGCGGTGCCACTTCCCTTCTGTATGTACGGACGCGGCGCCACTTACCTTCTGTATGTATGGACGCGGCGCCACTTACCTCCTGTATGTATGGACGCGGCGCCACTTAACTCCTGTATGTATGTACGCGGTGCCACTTCCCTTCTGTATGTATGGACGCGGTGCCACTTCCCTTCTGTATGTATGGACGCGGCGCCACTTCCCTTCTGTATGTATGGACGCGGCGCCACTTACCTTCTGTATGTATGGACGCGGTGCCACTTCCCTTCTGTATGTATGGACGCGGCGCCACTTCCCTTCTGTATGTATGGACGCGGCGCCACTTCCCTTCTGTATGTATGGACGCGGCGCCACTTCCCTTCTGTATGTATGGACGCGGCGCCACTTACCTCCTGTATGTATGGACGCGGTGCCACTTACCTCCTGTATGTATGGACACGGTGCCACTTCCCTTCTGTATGTACGGTCGCGGATCGCTCAGACGTGTACCTGGCCTCAGTATTGGTGTCCTCGCGGTATGAGTCTATAGTGGACGCCTTTGTGTTGTGTAGTTCTGGAGAACATATCGCTGGCTCCGTCACATGATCTCCTGTTATAGGAACGTTGTAGCGGAATGTTTTGGGAGGAGTCGGTGGGCGGCCGTCACTGACCACCTGCGTGTGTGTTTTGTCTTCAGATTTGTGGCTCCCCCCGTGACCGGCGCGGCCCTTACCCGGGTCTTCTATACATTCTAATAGAATGGACGAGGAGAGGATGACCATGACGGAGACGATATTAAGTCTCACCATGGAGATTATCTACCTGCTGCTAGGAGAGGTGAGGAGGACGCGGCACATTGTATCTCTATTGTTATTATACAGGATATATGTAGTGCCGGCAGTTTGCACAGCGCTTTACAATATAAACGCAGGGCCGTAGCTAGGGCGAGGCAACTGAGGCACAGGGGGGGGGGTTGCAGCCAGGGCTCAGCGCGACATGGAGAAGTGGGGCGGCACAGCCTGCAGCTTCTGCGCCGGATCCCTACAGCTCTGTATGGGAAGATGCAGCGGGGATCCGAGGAGAAGTGAAGCGCTGAAGTTGGCAAAGGTGTAGGGGGAGGGGGGAGCTGTCACTTTAGGAAGGCCGAGCTGTCAGAGAGAGAGAGAGCCGCTGACATTTAAAAAGAAAAAAAAAATGACATTTAAATTGCCGGTAATTGGTTTTCCCTTTAAAGGAGAACTATGAGGTCAGTGTTTTCCCCGTAGTTTTCCTTAGGGTAACGGGAGGACACAAACTAGCGTCCTCCCGTCACCCGAGGCTCAGTATATAGGGAGCTACAGCTCGCGGTATACTGAGACGCCGCAGCTGAAGCGGATCCCGACATGGACGCCGAGATCCGCCCAGCTGCGTGAGTGACAGCTGGCTCTGCCTATCTAGAGGCAGCTGTACCCGCCCCCTCCCCCGTCCGTTCCGCCAGTCAGCGCTGGTGGATCGGAGCGGGGAACCCAGCCCCTCCCCTGTTACGGCAGAGAGCTGTGACAGGATCGAGAAGTGAGCGAACGCCGGTATGTGTTCGCTCACCTCCCGATCTACTGAGCCGACCTGTGACAGTCTCATTGTCACAGGTCGGCTAGAACTATGAAGTGAGTGAAAAGCCCCTCCCCCCCTCATAGTTCTCCCTTAATCTTGTAAACAACTGCTTGGGGCGGCGGCTTGTCTGAGGGGCCACATTTTAGGACACTCGGATTGGGGTCAGAGACTTTGTGTGATCAATTCTGGAGCCTCTTTTGCAGACGTTGGATCAAAGTAACACAACAGGTGCTTTAAAATCGGGCCTTTGGTGTTGGCGTGCCCGGAGCCGTGGCTAGCTCCTTTTGCGCCCCGAGGCGAGAACAGAAAATTGTGCCCCGGTATGTGACATCATGCGCCCCGCCTCCAGGATGGCGGGCGCACATGTGCAGAATGCGCGACATTTCCCTTTTGAAATAGAAAAAAAGATTGAGGACACGGAGTCATCTGCCCATGCAGGTGGGGGGGGGGGG